ACAGGGGTTTAGGGTTTAGGGCTTAGGGTTTAGGGTTTGGGGTTTAGGGGTTTAGGGGTTTAGGGTTTAGGGTTTAGGAGTTTAGGTTTGGGGTTTAGGGTTTAGGGGTTTGGGGGTTTAGGGTTAGGGTTTAGGGTTTGGGGTTTCAGGGTTTAGTGGTTTAGGGTTTGGGGTTTAGGGGGTCAGGGGTTTAGGGTTTAGGGTTTGAGGTTTAAGGGGGGTGGGGGCATATGCAACTAAACCCTCCACCCTGGACCCTAGACCTCCAGTGGGTAGGCTGCAAGGGTTAGAGGAATTGGGTAAGCAGGTGACTCGGGTTGTGGGGACTTAGGGGGCTTCTACATCTCATTCCTAAGAACGACCCACTGGTGTGCACTGGGATGAGCTACTAAGGTTTAGGGTTTTGGGACGAGCATGATTGTGTTGAGCTCCCTCTCTCTGTGTGTGCTTCTATATTTATATCTTTCTCTGTCAATCTTTTCTTTATGTCCTTCCCTTTCTTTCACTCTCTGTCTGTCTGTCTGTCTTTGTTTCGTATTTCTTCATCCCCTCCACTCTCTCTCTCTCTCTCTCTCTCTGTCGCTGTCTCTCACTTTGACTTTCTGTCATCATCCTCATATATGCAGGCCCAAATAGTGTCAGCACGTGCGAAGCACGAAAAAGACACGAGGCTCCGATTGTCGTCAGGATGGCGAACCACAGTGGAGCACATCCTCACCTAGAAGTTGCGAGGCCTCGAAAGCGAAGGCAACTTCGAGCCTGGCGAGGGTCACGATGTCATTATTATTCTTATTCTTCTTATTCTTCTTAGTCTTCTTCGTCTTCGTCTTCTTATTGTTTACCCTGGTACTTGTTACTCACATGATTGTTTATCATCAACAATCGCATTCTTATCATTACTGTTGCTATCATTCTTGTCATTATAGCAAAATCGCTGGTCACCCTTTTCCATCCCCCTCCCTCCTCCCACTCTCTGAACGGGAGCCCTTTTGCTTCGAGCGGGGTCTTGCATATCCCCCACAGGGTGAAAGAACCCGAAGGAAGGGTAGAGTGGCCCATACCCTACTTCTAACCTTACTTGTAACCATGAACCTTTTTCAAGCAAACCCCCTAAACCCTAAACCCTAAACCCTAAACCCTAAACCCTAAACCCTGAACCCTAAACCCTAAACCCGAAACCCTAAACCCTAAACCCTAAACCCTGTGGAGAGTGCCGAGAGGCCCATGTCCAAAAGCATCCCTAGGGGCGTCGATTCCCGTGGTGGTGCTGCAGTGGTAGCCTGTCGAGAGGATTTGAGAATCGGGTTTAGGGTTTAGGGTTTGGGAGTTTAGGGTGTAGAGTTTGGGAGTTTAGGGTTTGGGGTCTAGGGTCAATTCTTCAAACCCTAAACCTGTACTGAACTTGGAACCCTGGCAAAAATGTTGGCTTTGGCGGTTTCTTAGCAATTGTAGTACCCAAAAATAACTTCTATTCCCAAGTATCCCTTAGAAACCCCCTGAGCCCTACTACACCCTTCTTAAACCATTAAACGCGGAATTGGAAACCTTGAAAGCGTGCGGCCCTGAAACCCCGACCAATGCCCGCTAAGCTCTACTAGGCTAAGATTAGCCCACGCAACCCCTCAAAAAAGAGTCAAACAATCATACCCTAACCCCGAAATTTCAAAAACCCTGAGCCCTAAACCCAAACCCAAAACCCAAAACCCTAAACCCCAGACCCTACTTATGATGGCAAGTCTCCCTTAAGGGATCCTACAGGAATGGCTGTCCTGCGCTTCGGCGGCGCTCAACAGCACCGCGGCGGCAACGTCCATGTCACCTTCGGGAGGAGCATTTAGGGTGATAGGGGGTTTAGGGTTTAGGGTTTAGGGTTTAGGGTTTAGGGTTTAGGGTTCATGGATGTCTTGCTAGGGTTTGGGCGTTGGTACATGAGTAGTTTTGTGGTGAGTGTCGGTTTGGGGAGGGCTTAGTGGGGTTTGGCAAGCAGCGTTTAAGGTTCTGGAGCGTTTCTAGGTCTCTATTCCTTCCATCATAGGTGCCAAAAACCACTAAACCCGAAACACTCGACCCGAAAACCCGAAAACCCAAAACCCAAAACCCTAAACCCTGCATCACAGCATTGAGGAAACAGAGCTGGGAGCTCTTAAGCACAGGGTTTGGGGCTTCGGGCTTAAAGTTTGCAGGGCTGATGAAGGGGTTGCCTGGGATGTGTAGGGCTTTTCAGGGGGTTTATGTAGGGTTTATGTAGGGTATGTGTAGGGATTATGTAGGGTTTGTAGGGTTGATTTTGGGTTTAGGTTTAGGGTTTAGAGGGTCAAAAGGGTTTCGGACTCAAAGGGTTGGATGGCACTTACAGGGTTTAGGCTTCTAGAGCCTTCTAGGGCTTGTCAGCTGAACAGGCTAAGCTTAAGGGATATACAAGGAAGGACCCCTAGAAGGGCCCCTTAATCCTATTCCCCTGTATAACCCATATATATATATATGTATTTATATTATGTTTGCTTTTATATTCATATTTATGTGTATATATTTATATTTATATGTATATTTATGTTTACATCTATATTTATACTTATTATATCTATATATACCTTACATAGTCCCGAAAACCTAAGAAGCCCCTACATTACCCCGAAGGCGCCTTGCAAGGGTCCCTCCTTGCATCCCCCTGAGTAGTCGTGCTTCAGCCCTCTTCAGCACATTCCCGGTTTAGGGTTTAGGGTTTAGGGTTTAGGGTTTAGGGTTTAGGGTTTAGGGTTTAGGGTTGGAGGCGAACATGGGAGTTCATAGAGCCTTCTATGACAGGAATGTACGCGATCCTGACTCTGTTTATGGTGGTTTCCGAAATTGGGGGTACCTTATGGGGGTCCCTATTATAAAGGAGCCCTCAACCCTAAACCTTAAACCCTAAACCCGAAACACTAAACAGCTATATTGGGGGTCCCCTATTTTCGTAAACCCCCATATTGCCTCCGCTCTGGCGCAAGGCTGCCGCGGAGGCATTGACATCCACATTGCAGGCCTGTCTAGACCGATATATAGGGTTCAGGGTTTAGGGTTTAGGGTTTAGGGTTTGGGGTTTAGGGTTGAGGGCTGTGGGTTGAGGGTTTAGGGTTAGGAATAGTGCTTGTGGGATCAAAAGGGTGCGGGCGCATACCCCGACCCTGTACTGTAACTACTTCCTTTGTTGGGGTGCCCGGCTCTATGTGTGGTACTGGGTATTTTCCAAAAGTAGGGTCCCCCTAATAATGACACGCCACAAATACTTTAATGTTGATTATACGAGGCCCGAAAACGGTACCCCTATCTTCGGAAAGCCCCGAAGTTAGGGAAACCCATACCCTGAACTGCGGCGTTGAACGATCGAACCCAGGACCATACAAATCCCCCTAGTAGAAAGTCAGAGGGTTTGCGCTGTGAGGCCGCTAGCTGAACAAGGGGAGGGTTGGCAGCAGAGATCATTGAGATCATGTACAGACCCTAAGCCCTAACCACTAAATCCCGAAACCCTAAACTCAACTTGCTCCTGCACACCAAAAAAAACCCCTAAGGCTAGCTCCCGTTTAGCAAGGGTTCGTCTTTCAGGGACACCTCACCCAACAGCCCATCCCCTTAAAGGCCATGAAATCCTAAACCCTAAACCCTAACTGCAAGACCTAAAGGCTTTACAACAAGCCCATGTGTACTTTGCTGTGACCCACATCATCATGACCGGCGAATGCCGAATCTTCACCCTAAACCCTAAACCCCTAAACGCCGAAGACCCGAACTTCCTAATCTGCAGGGCAGAGGTTGCCACTAAGGGGTGGCAACCTCCCCCTTCACCTCCATGTGACCATGTCTTCCAACAGATATCGCCCACTTTGGGTTTAGGATTTAGGTTTCGGAGGTTTAGGGGCTTAGGGTTTGGGGGTCATTATCTGCCGACCTTGGCGGCGCGTTGGATGGGTTTTCGGAGGTGAAACCTCCCTTTTTCCCTCCTTCGGCGGCTTGAGCCGGAGGCTCTTAAATAAGAAGCCGGCCCCGAATATTTAGGGTATCCAAAAGGGAGCAGTAATTCTAGAGAAGTGACCATATGTATGCATATCCACGTCTGAATCTATCCGTCCATCCATCTAGATATGACAATGACCTCGAAATACATCCCTAAACCCTAAACCCTAAACCCTATGCAAAAGCTTCTGATTTTGGCCCCCCCCACACCCCGGGACCTCAGCGAGATACCTGACTTTAGCCGCGTCGGCCATGGCTGGCAAGGCCTATCGAAGCCAAACTGTACGTATCCCTAAACCCTAAACCCCAAACCTGAACCCTATACCCGAAACCCTAAACCCTGAACCCTAAATAGCTTCAGGGCTCTTGGACTGAGGACTATTCCGAGGCCTTTTCAAGGCATCATCGCAAAAGCTTGAGAATGGCGAGTTGGGTGGCTGTTATAGTATACTCATTGCTGGACCAGAATACTATTGGCAATTATTCCGACCTCTATATTACTTATAACACAACATATCGCCTATGAGAAGAGAAGAAGCCCTATAGGCTGGATAAACCCTGAAATGACTCAGCCTACGCTGAGGCTGAGCCACGAGCGTGCCGCAGTTGGGCTTTAGCTCTTCGTAGCGGGGTTTAGGGTTTATAGGGCAAAGGTCTTACCACGACTGCACAAGAGCAGCCCAGCAACACTCTCAGGCTTGAGACAATTATGGTGGAATGTGTCCTAAACCCTCCACCCGAAATGCCGACCCAAGCTTTCTTCACATACCGGCTGTGCGACAAAAACTGACTTTCAGTGCAAAGGCACCGCCAAGAAGGGGTCCCGCATGCGAGAACACCCCCCCATGTCAAGCAGCCCCCGAAATCCAGAGACCCTCCTTGAAGTTTCACGGGTACTTATAAGTAGGGCTAAAGTTATTAAGGTTATAACCCTATAGTTCCCTCATTACAGGTACCCATGAACCTGAAGTATACACCCCGAAGCCCCAAACTCATGCGTGGAGTGCTCAGCACGAAGAGGAGCGTGGCAAAATCCACCGAATCGCCCGGAACGGCCTCCTCTGCAGGAGGGAATGGGATTAGGGCGACCCTTGGGGATGTAGACTCTCTGAATAAGGTCCCTGTTTAAGAGAGCCAGAAGAGGGTTAAGAAGGGTTCCCTTTTATGGGGCCCCCCCTTTTCCTGCCTAGGATACACGGAGCCCCGAGCAAGGAATCTAGGAAGCTGCGAGTTTAAAACTCGTCGTCGAACGACATCACCAGAACCCACCCTAAGCCCTAAACCCTAAACACCAAGCTCTAAATCCTAAAGCCTAAACCCTAAACCCTACATCCTACACCCTAAACCCCAACCCGCCTTTCCGCCCTCAAAAAAACTCCCTTCTGCCCCACCAAGAGCCCTGCTCCCGAATAATTTGGCAAACAGGAGCCGGCGCCCTCACCAAGATTCTCCTCTTGTGACCAGTTTCTCGATATTCCAAGTAAGTAGGGTGGTCTAGGTGAGTCTCAGAGATGGTTTGTGCATGTAGACTCTCCGCCAGGACCTCCAGGCTTTGGGCTTCTAGGGTTCCGAGTTTCACAAGAGGGGAATGAGGGAACCTGGTAAGATGTAGAACCCCTCAGTGGATTTATTACGAGGAGATAGGGTACGTAGTTCACCACTCATTTGCCTACCAGGAACTAGCAAGCATATGACCTTCTAAACCATGAACCCTAAACCCCAAACCCTAAACCCTAGACCCTCAACCGCAGAAGCTTCGCGCCGCTTAAACGACTTGAGCCCTACTTGCAGTCTCAGTGGTGGTTGTAGGTATAGAGCCAAAAGCACCCCCGTAAAGGTTAGCACCCCTTATCTACGAATTGCGCAAGAACCCCCAAAGAAATCAACAGATTCTTCCTTATAAGGGTAATATAGGGAATTTTTCTGGGGGGAGGTTCTTCAGCAGATAGTAGTTAGAGCTACGGCAATACTAAGTTCAGTCACAGCACAAGTCGCCTCCAAACTTTGGTGGCAGTCAGTTGGCTGCTGCCCGGAACCTTTCGTGATGTCCTGTCGTCGGAGCGGTGGCCGATTCAGGTGGGCTTGGAATGCCTTCATACACCGGTAAGTTGGGTGGTGCAAGAAATAAATGTCCATGGGGTGATAAAGGGATTCGGGCGAAACCCTAAGCCCCAAACCCTTGCTAATTAGGAAACCCTAGCTAAACCCCAAACCATCCCAAACCCTAGCTAAACACCAAACCTGAAACCCTACAAATACGCAACAACCTAAAACCCAACCCCCCAGCAAATACCATGCAGCCTCTGAACCCTAGCCGCAATAGGGTAAGCCCTGGCAAGCTGGACAGACTCCCAATCTCATCCCCCTGATACTTGTTGTACAATGTCCTTGGTAGCCATATTAGACTAAGGGCACCCACGGGTACTTCATACGGGAACCTAGAACCAAACACAAGGTTTACGATACCACTGGGCCACCAAGTAAACCACAATAACTTCACGATCGAATTCGAACTCATGCCTCCTTCACCAAGGGGTTCGGGGAGTCTGTGGAATTCAACGCCCTCCCCCTATCCACCTCCAAAGCCAAAGCTGGTTCGCTCCCAGCGAGCGAGGGCCGTCCCCCAAAAGTTGGTTCAGGGTTTGAATGTCTTGGGGTTCGAGGCTTGAGGGTTTGGATTTTGGGGTTCGGGGTTGTTTTCGACAGCTTGGAAGGGCAAAGATCAGAGACTTTCCATCTAAGGTGCAGGCGCTGGGAAAGGCAAGGCATCGCCCACAGCGATATTCCTCCTCGGGTGCTTTAGCACTGTCCCTAGACTCAAAGTGAACGCTGCAGGTCCCACATTCAAACACCCTAAACCCTCAACACTAAGCCACGAATCTCGATGCAGCTATGTTTGGCAACAGGTACTACGCAGTACTCATGCGCAGTACTCATGCACAAGTTGCATCGATCCCCCGGTGCCACCATGGAGACTAAGAGTAGACTGGGTTTAGGGTTCAGGGCGTAGGGTTTAGGGTTTAGGGCTTAGGGTTTGGGTGCCAGTAGTACAGCATGAATTCCAAGACCCATAGTTCGGCAAGGCACGTCTGCGCGACCAGGCAGTGCAAGATTCATTACTGGCCAGGGAGGCTCAGGTGGCTCGTACCGAAATACCCTAAACCCTAAACCCTAAACCCTAAACCCTAAACCCTAAACCCTAAACCCTGAACCCTAAACCCTAAACCCTAAACCAGAAAGATCGTCTTGCGAAGCGGGGCCAAGGAAGGCTCAGGCGGACAACTGTACCGAGGTGCTGCTTTACTAAGCAAACTAGGGTGTGCGCAGGCAGACAGCTGTACCGAGATCTTGCCCTGCAGGAAATGTGCACGGGTCCCAACTCATGTTGAGTGGGGCGGGAGCAATATGAGATATTATAAAGGAAGTTACCACTCACATTAGTGTTATTGCCTTTATGTTTATGTGTTGTAGTATCCCTAGATTCGTTGCAGGTATGTTTTCTCGAGGCCGACTCCAACTCCAAGAAGAGTTCTGGCTGTAGCTCATATAGAACATGACGGAGATCATCTACCAGCCCTGCCAAAGAAGCAAGTGTCGAAGAGTACTGGCGCGCGGACAAGCCCGTTTCTGGTAGTCTGCGACGGTAGCATAAATGCATGCTTAGCGTCACCTGTTCATGTCGGTTCTTGTCTACCTGTGCAGGCATGCATGCATGCAATTGGGACCACATATCATGTATCATTCCGGATGAAAGTCAGAAAGAGAGCCCCCAAAATCGCAGGTCCTTCCCCTGGAGCAATGCCACTGCCTCGGCGGAAAGGTCGCAACCGATCCCAAAGAGATCCTGGGCTCTACTCGGAAGGGCTTGTTTAGGGTTTCGGGCTGAGGGATCAGGGTTGGCAGTTTGAAGGCATTTGCACGGCGCTGGGCTTTGGGCGTTTAGGGCTTACCCTAAACCCTACACCCTAGACCCTAACTAAACCCTAAACCCTAAACACATAGTGTTTAGGCGCGCCACTGGGGCTTGGGAAAGTGTGTAGTGGGTTTAGGGTTGAGGGTGTAGAGATCTATCTCCCTGTTTTGCAAATACCCAGAGTCAAAATCAAAGCGAGCCGAGTACAGCTTGAGCCAGAACTTCTAAAGCAGTAGTTTCATGGGCCCTTGATACAGTCCCTAACAGCCCTAACATAAAATTTTCCCCTTGAGGACCGCCACGATTCTAAGACAAATCTCGCCTGAAAACCCTAATCTCAGACCCCCGAGTCCCTGAGCTGCCAAGAATATCCCTGAGCCCGAAACTTTCCCCAAGCTTCCTCAACCCCGAAATTGTTCGAGCCTCCTCCTTTCCAACCCTCGCCCCACTCTCAGCCTCTCACGCCCCGCACCCCTAACATTCCCCCCCACCCTACCGCCCTACCGCCCTAAACCCTAAACCCTAAGCCCTAAACCCTAAACCCCAAAACCCCCAGAATCCCAAAACAAGACGCCGGGTTGGCGCGCAGCATTGGGATGAGACCGTTGCCTCTCAAAGCTAAGCGGTTTAGGGTTTAGGGTTTAGGGTTTAGGGTTTAGGGTTTAGGGTTTAGGGTTTAGGGTTTAGGGTTTAGGGTTTAGGGTTTAGGGTTTAGGGTTTAGGGTTTAGGGTTACCGTGAATGAGGGTTTACTGTTGTTTGCATCGTCTAAGGTTTAGGGTTTTTTTGGGTCTACCACGATCCTTGGGTAGAGTTCCCTAAACCCCTAAACCATAAACCCTAGCACCCCTAATTTTGGAAGGCATAAGGTTGCTTTTGGCAGAAATTGGAAAGAACTCCCCTGGTTTCCTGGGGAGCATTGGGTCGGGTTCATGCGCGAGCTCAAGGTGTCTCCATTTGAAGGTTCAGGGTGTAGGGTGTAGGCCTTCGGGTTTAGGGTTTAGGGTTTAGGGTCTAGGGTTGGGGGTTTAGGGTTTCGGGTTTAGCTTGGGGTTTCGGGTTTGGGGTTTCGGGTTTTAGGGGGATAAGGGATTTTAGGGTTTAGGGGGCTTATGGCTTAGGGTTCAGCATAATAGTCACCCCATGACCCCATCTTCTCAGTTCAAAAGAAAAACCAGGCACTCAAGGAAGAGTAGCCGTCCTCGCAGCTTCGAAACACCGATGCCAACCAAACCCTGAAACCCAAAACCCTAAGCCGCCAAAAACAACCCTGCACCCCTTGTAGCCCAGTAACCATCTTAGAATAAGGGTACCCCTTGTTGTACTTTTCTGAGGGAACCCAGAACCCAAAATGGGCAAAAGGCTACCAAGACCCAAAACTCAGTAACTTTAATCCGAAAGCTGCCCGGCTTAAACCCTAAACCCGAAACCCTAAGGCCTACTGCACAGCCCAGCTCCAGCAAGACGGTCCTCGGATGTCTAGACCCAAGAGTAACCTGGGTTTAAGGTTTGGGATTTAGGGCTAGCCCCGAGAGTAACCTAGCAATGAAAAAGGTGTCCATTTTGGTTTGAGGGGGCTTTTTGGGGAACCTAAATCCTCAAAAAAAGTGAATAAGGGCCTACTCTGGGTCCTGAGATGTAGAGACTTCCCTTGACAATGGGGAGTTAGGGGTTGAGGGATTTAAGGCTTTCATACGGATTGGGGCTTTGGGTTGAGGCTCAAGGGGAGAGACACTTCCCCAAACAATGGCGACAGTTCGGGATTTGGGGGCCCTTTTGAGTGTTTGCAGGGTTTTGGGTGGCTTTAGGCTGTTTTTCACAGTTTTACAGAGGTTTGGGGTGTTGGGGGTTATTGGGCTTTACAGGTCTTCAAGGGGCTCTGTCTTTTAGGGCTTTAGGGTTGTTTGCAGGGTTTATTCAGGGCTGAAGAGGAAGATTCCGAGCATGCGCAGACTTGGACCTTGGACGTCTAAAGCTCCTCTAGGGTTCAGTCAGGGTTTGGCTTCGGGGTTCACAATTCCCAAAACATTTCCATCAAATCCTCAAACCGACTTACTGGTTCTGAGTGGAGAAGAGGTTTAGGGGTTTGGGGTTTAGGTTTAGGGTTCAGGGCAGAAGTAGGGAATGTAGGATCCTAGGCTTCCGCGACGAAAGGCTGTCTTCTAAGATGCCGACTGCAACAGATCCCTTGCATCTAGGATCGTCTGAGGACCAGCCTCCAAACACAGAAACTACAAGGAGAGGTCTAGGACCAGCCCCATTTAGACCCTATTTCCCCTGAACCCTGCGCTTAACGTTTAGGGCTTAGGGCTTAGGGTTCACCAAAGTCACGGTGGCCCTCGCCCCTAATCTCAACAGCATTTGGATGGCTGGGAATATCCTTCTTCTGCCACCCAAGCTTCTTCCCCCGCAATGCCTGCTCCAACGCTTCCATAGATTGAGGCGGCTCCTGACAAAGACTTCTTGAGAGACCCTAAACCCTAAACCCTAAACCCTAAACCCAAAACCCTAAACCCTAAACGGAAGAGGGTTTAGGGTTTGGGGTTGCTGCTCAGGGCTAGCCAACGCGATCTGGTGTCTGGGTTCAGCGGTAGTCTCCTAACAAGGGCAACTGGCAACTATCTGAGTCAAGGAGGGAAGCATTGTCCGCTTTCGCTTCTACCCGAAACTCAACCTCAAACCCTGAAACCTCTGAACCCTGAAACCCCTAAGCCCTGAAACCCTAGACTCCCTTGAGCCCTAGGACCCTTAACCGCCCCAGCCACCCGCAATGCCCAAACCCATGAACCCTAATCTGAACCCTCCACCCCTAAACCCTAAACCCTAAACCCTAAACCCTAAACCCTAAACCCTAAACCCTAAACCCTAAACCCTAAACCCTAAACCCTAAACCCTAAACCCTAAACCCTAAACCCTAAATAAACCCTAACCCTTATAAACCCTAAACCCTAAACCCTAAACCCTAAACCCTAAACCCAACCCTAAACCCTAAACCCTGAACCCTGAACCCTGAACCCTGAACCCTGAACCCTAATCCACCCATCAACCCCCTTCAGGCCCGGCACTGAAAGCAGGTCGTGTCCTCCTCGGAGATTTCTAACTCATTCACCCATCCTGGGGTTGAGGGGTTAAGGCACACAGGCATTTCCCCATATAGGGTTTAGGGTTAAGGGTGTAGGGATTTTGGTTTTTTGGGTTTAGGGATTTTCGGGTTTAGGGTTTAGGGTTTTAGGTTTAGGGGTTGTTCTAAGATGGCCCTTGAGACCCTCTGAAAATGTTCTTACGTAAATGTAATCCAGGACTCAATAAGGGAACACATAAAACGGTCCAAGGGCCTACCTAGGGTTTTCAAGCACATGGGCATTTCCCCAAATAGCGTTTGGGTTTAGGGTCAAGGTTCTAGGGGTTTAGCTAGGGTGTTTGGGGTTTAGGCTTTTTTCGGGGGGGTTGAGGGTGTATGGCTTTTGGAGCGGTTAGGGTTTTGCAGTTCCCCCCCCCCCCCCCCCCCCCCAGAGTCCTCATCTATCTTGAGCTTCGGGTGTAAGGTTTAGAGTCGACAAAACACAAGCGTGCACACCAGCGCTTAGGGTTTCCCTTCCCCCGAATTTAAGCCCCCCCACCATATGCTGTGATATATAATGGGGGTATTTAGTATTAACGGGGCAGGGAGGCTTAATATTAGGGGAAGGGATTAGAGCTCAAGGGGTTGCAGAGCTGGGGGTTCGGAGAGGTTCAGCAAATGCGCTGCAACCACGGGGCAACGTAACCCGGAAGCCAAGACATCTGGGCATTTCAAGGGGGGGGGGGGGTAACGCAATGTACCCCCAAGACGACTCAAATCCTTTGCCGTCATTCGTCTTGTCGGAACTTTAAGCCCTAAGCCCCCTAAACCCTAAACCTTAAACCGTGAACCAATTCCCATGTGCCGTTACCGGCTGAGGGCGCCCACGCTTGGGATCTGCAAGAACCTCGGCCGGCATGATCTCCGCGAACTCCTTTTGCAAAGAGACCGGTTTAGGGTTTAGGGTTTAGGGTTTAGGGTTTAGGGTTTAGGAGACCGTCCAAGGTCGGGTGCGAGGGTTAAGGATCTGGCAAAATCCTGAAAGAGGCAAGGTTTTGAGTTTAGGGTTGAGGGTTTAGGGTGTGCTCGGCGAGGTCGATCGCTGGTAAGAAGCAATGCACACCACGACGAACCAAAACACTACTCAAAGTGGCCCGAAACCCATCAAACCCCCTAAACCCTAAACCCTAACACTCAGCTGATTCTTGGGTGCGGCGTTCCTTGCGTCGAATGCTCGAGGGCTTTTGCCCAAGGCCGGTTGAAAAGACACAAATGGCACCCGAGACCGCCGAGACCGTCTGGGGCGTATGGATTGCCGATTTCTAGGGTTTGGGATGTCGCGATTGCCCATCTCCAGGGTTTCGGAGGGTCAATACAGTCCAAACCCTTTCAACTTAAAAGCCTAAACCCTAACGCCTAAACCCTGGGCCCGAAGCCACATCCGATGTGATACGTCCCCTCTGAAGCCCTGAGATGCAATGAAACCTGCTGCTCCTTCTGTCACAGAGGGCCACCTGAAAACATGCTTGTTTTCAAAAGTCTCTCTTATTCCTAAGGTCCTTTTTGGGTGAAGCCAACATTTACGGGAGCCTCACATCTGAGATACATCCTAACCCCTCCAAGCCCCACAAAGTCTGTTGGGCCCTTGGGCCTGTGGTGCAGCATCAGCACTATCTCACCGGCAATTAGGGATAAGGAATTAGGGAGTTCAGGTAGCCAAATAGCCACCTATTATCTTGCTGGCCTTGAAAGGATCCTGCAAGGAACCTCGTTCCAGCAGCAGCTACCACCCTAACGGCCGTCTGTGGGGGTGCGGGCACGCTTGTGACTACGCCTGGTCTCAGATGAGTCCACGAGCATCTCCAACAGAGTTGCGGCCAGGGACGGGTTCTCCTTGCAATCCGCGATTCCCCACAAAACGGTGGAGAGCAAAATGAGGACTTGGATTTTGGGTCGATAGGGTTTAGGGTTTCGGGCTAGATGCACAGCAGCTGAAGACGGGAACCGGAGCTTCGCCAAAACACTGGAACGTCAGGGCTAATGGATTTTTTAGGGCTCAAAGGGTCTAGGGTTTGGGGTACTATGATTCCTATTAGGGTATATGACCCATAAACCCTTTTGGGGTTCATTTGGTCCCCAAGGCGGGGCTCCTGTGCCAGCTGCCTCAACTTGGCTTGCTGTACAGCAAGGATGGCACAGTCGTCCGACCGGAGCATGTCGAGGCAGACGCTCTCCAAGCGGCCTCCTGAGCCTACAAGTTTTGAAGACGTAAACCCCTCATAATCCTTCTTCGCTGATACCTATCAACCCTCCCCCCAAAGAGTTTAGGGTTTAGCGTTTAGGGTTTCACAGACCGCTGCACCTACATAGGGTCTGGGGTTTGTAGCGTTTGTAGGGTTCAGGCCTTAAGGGGCTAAGGTTAAGAGGTGCAAATTTCCAGGGGCACGTGGCACAAGTGTACTATGGCTTTGGTCCGTCGAGCCTTCGACATGTCCCAGGAATTCCAGGACATTGTCTTCGGAGAGCAGTTGCTCCAGCTGTCGGTCGACTTGGGCCACGAGACGCGTCAGGCGATACTCGTCCGCCAGTCCACGGACCCCAAAGGCATAGCAGGCATCTGCTCCGCAGTCAAAGGCCCCGTCTGACAGAAAGCGCACGATGCCCTGGAAACACTGCGTCTTCGCCCGAGGATTCTTTGTCAGATCTACTTCGAAGGTCTGTCCTTCCCTCCACGCGTCCCTGGACAACATCTCTCTGAAGTAGGCCGAGCGAGCTGTAAGGAGGCGCTTGTCAACGAAGACGCGTTGCCCCTCGGCCAGTCCTTGGGGACGAAATGAACCCTAAAATTAGGATCATACACCCTATACTACTATGATTCCCATTAGGGTACATGAACCATAAACCCTTCTAGGGTTCATTTGGTCCCCAAGGGTCGGAATACGACCTGAGTTATCTCTTCCGTGAAGTCCAGCTCTGGCCAGACGGTCGGCGCAAGGCGGGTTGCATCCAGAGGAAAGATCACCGTGGCTTCGCATCGCAGCATGGGCTCGCTCCGCCAGCCGGTTTCGGGAATAAGCAAGTCAGCGGCTGGGTTTACCATTGTACACCTTACCCCCGTAGTTTTGAAGGAGCTGCCGTCGAAAGTGCGCCCTTTAATTTCTTTGCTGATGCATCGCGTGGGGTCGGAAAGTCCACAAAGCTTGCACTGCACATGTGCATTAAATCTCCACGTGCCACATCCTTCAGGCGGGTGCAGGATGACGTACATCACAAAGGCTGTGCCGGTTTCCAGCCCTTTCGGCATCACGACCAGTTTTACGCGGAACATGTGCAGAGGCCCAGCAATCCTAGACTTCACGAGTTGATGCGTTCCTAGGATGGCCCTTTTAAATTGTCTGAAAAGCATTCCTAAAACCATGATCCTCTTACACCCAATTTAGGAAGAAAACCCAACATGTCCCAAAAACCAGCCTGGGTTCTGAAATTGGGCCACTGATCAAGTAGAAGCTCAACTCGCTCTTGCCGCCCAGGGGTGAACTCGATGCTCTCGACGTTGCCGCTGTCTTCTGCGTCGTCGTCCAGATCTATTGCGGCCATGGCTGCAAATGGTTCAGGGTTTAGGGTTTAGGGTTTAGGGTAGTTCTAAATTAAGGTCATTTTGTGGGCCCCCAGGGCGCCATGAAATTAAGGACCCAAAAAGGGACCCTAATGCAGAGAGAACCACCCAAAATTGCGCAAACCCACGAGTCACGTGCTTGACCACCGTGCGCACATGATCTTCAGATTCACGCTCACCTGGATGCATAAGATTTGCTGTATCTTAGGCTATGTACACACCCTGAACCCACAACCCGAAACCCCTCGGCAGGTGTGTTGCAATGTTGCCTCAGCTTGGTTCAGCAGCACAGCCCTGATACACCGCTTGACTTTCGTGTTTCTCCGCCCAGTCCCCCTATACCCTAAGCCCTAAACCCCAAACCCGAAACCCTAAACCCTAAACCCTAAACCACTTCCTGGGTTCTTGGTTGGGTTCAAACAGCACGCAATGATGATTGACCGATTGACCGATGCGTGCAGGACCGGATGGAGTGCTAACACAGGACCTAGGCCTGAAGAAACGCCTTACAAGAGTCTCACAAGCATTCTGGGCGATAATATCGGGGCCATGATGATTAGACTGGGGTCTTGGGGTGTTTATAGTATAACTTTCTAGGTCCATTCAGAATCTATGAGTAATTTTCTCCGACCCCGAAATCACACAGAGAGCAGGGCGGGGGGGGGGGGGAGACATGCCTAAACCCTAAACCCTAAACCCTAAATCCTAAACCCTAAACCCTGAACCCTAAACCCTAAACCCTGAACGTTCCGAGAATGGCCTGTAAGGAGAAGCCCCAAACCCTACTGGGAGCCCCCAAGTGTCGGTCCTTGCTTTACCTCTCTTTGTATTTCCTTCTCCTAAGCACAACACTAATACACCCCCTCGGCCCCCTCAAAAAACAAAACAGGTAAAATACAAGGACTGGACCTGAAGGTCAAGCTTAAGCCCGGAAGTACAAACACCCTGAAAGCTAAACTGCTCAAGAGGGGCTTGGTTCTTGGGCATTTTCTTGGCTTAGGGTTTAAGGTCTAGGTCCTAGACCAGAAGTATATCAAAATACGAATGAGAGTATTTGGAGTGTATTCTAAGGGCCCCCCCCCCCCACCACTCGCCCCCCAAAATACCTCCCATTCGTATTTCACTAAACCCTAAACCCTAGAAATCCTCGTGCTGCTCCAGGTCGCGAGGGCATTTTTCTTGCCGTGCGCCCAGCGGCATGACGCAGGCTCTCCGAGGGGCTAGGTCTCCCAATAGCTTCGGGTTCCGAGGTTGGACTCATATGGTCGGTTCTCTTAAATACCCTTTTGGGGTACCCCAAATGCACGTGGCAGCCTTCCAATAGGAACCCCAAAAGGGACCATCTTTTGGAAAAGTGACCATATAGCTGTGCAACACATACATATATACATATTTATTTATTTACTTGGTTGAATTATGTATTGATTTATTTATAAAGCAATTTACCGACTTGTTGGGTGCGGCTTTGGCCTCATGAGAGATGCGCTTACGGAGGCATTCTTCTGCGGTTCTACGGGGAGTTTTGAGGTTGAGGCCCAATTCAGCTTTATAGGGTTTATAGGGTTTATTTTAGGGTTTCGGGCTATTGGGGTTATAGGGTTTAGTGTTACAGGGGGCGCATTGGAGGTCTGATTCACTGATAGGGGTTTGATCAGGTGGCCGAAAGCTGAAAACTTGGCAGACTCAGCGCAAGGAGTGGCGATGCTTCTTCGCCAGGAGGTAGTGTGACCTTTCTGGCCAAACCAGCATCGACCCCAATCCAATCAGGTCATCCTCTAGGCAGGAACGGAATACTGGGTTCCTGCTGAGGACCTCAAACCAAGTTGTCAAATTTATTGTGCAACCTTGTTATGGTCGTATCATATAAATCTTGAAACAAGAGCCCGGAATGGGGTTTTGGGCGAATCCAAGACGGTGGCGGTTTCCCAACAATGCCGTCTCTACCAGTAGCTGCACATGAGAGGCTACTGAGGGAGCATCTCCAAGCCGGCAAGACGGTAGGGTTTAGGATTTAGAGTTTGAGGTTTAGCGTGCTTCTTCGGGGGTTTCGGGTTTAGGACTTGAAGGTTGTAGGGCTTGAGAGTTTATAAGGTTGACAAGGTTTGGGCACGGGTTTGAAGATTAGGGTTCCTCAGATTCAGGCAACTGTAGGAATTATCAGGCTATTAGGGTTTTAGTGGTTCAGGAGATCTGTAAGGTTCAAGGTTTCGGGCTTGCAGACAGTGAGTTGCGGAGCGCACTATAGCGGTCCGTTTAGTGATCATGGTAGCTTTATCTTGAGGAACTGTGCGAGTTCAGAGATGACAAGTTGGCAATCC